CACGCTCCAGCACCTCGACGTCCTTCTTGTAGTGAGGGGCCCAAAACTGAACACAGTATTCGAGGTGCGGCCTCACCAGTGCTGAGTACAGGGGCACTATCACTTCCACATGCTGACTTCCTAACTCCAGGGAGCTCAGGCCGTACTTTCAGGGTAAGAGCAGTGCGGCAGCAGTGCTGATTTTGGGTGCAGATGCTGGTTCCTGCACTGCCTTGCAGCTGACTCAGCTGTTTGCAGGGCAGTGCTGTGATCCAGGCCAGGGGGCTGATGGGAGATCAAAACAAACTCTTGTTTCTCCAGGCTTTTCTGATCTGGACCAAGAGGATAAGACGCTCTGTAAACAGGTACCGAATCCTTGTGCTGTGGAGTTAGAGCTGAGGACATCGGTGAATTACTTTACACTTTAATGTTCATCTGGCTGATGGTGTTTTGTCCCAATTAGAGATCTTTTAATTAAGGTAAAGAACGAATGTGCATTAGATTTGACTATTTTGCTTGAATCGAAACAAAATTCCTAGTGTTGTGTCCCTATGAGTGCCGGGCGTTGCGCAGAGCCCTGGGGTAGGTGTTTACAAGTGGAGGGTTGAGGCTCTGGATTTGCTGAAGAAGTCCCTAGGTCCTTCAGGTCAGCTCATGTGGGAAGTCTTCTGAGCTGATTCCTCTTACCCTGAGTGATCCCCAAAACCCATGTGTTCCCCAGGGCTGCTCTGCAGATCCCAGGTTGATGCATTGGGGCTGTCTTGGCTGGTGGGTGCAAAGGGTGGCAAGCAGCCATATGGATTTGTGACGACAAGGAGGGAGCATCGATGGCTCTGGGCAGCCAGAAGACTGGGCAAGCGTTGCAGGGGGCAGGTGAGGAGGACAGAGAAGCAGGTTTGTGTCTAATGCTGCCTGCCCTTCTGGGGAAGGACACGAGGAGCATCCTTATGGCGATCTCCATTCACGGGCGCTGCCTGCTGCCCTGCCTGCTGCAGGGGGATGCGGCAGGAGCCCCTCCTTGGCATTCCCCACTGGCGCTCAGGAACGTGGGGGCTCTGGTGGAGGTGGCACATCTGGGGAGGAGGTGGCTGGGTTCAAGTCAGCTGCTTCTGAGTTGTTTCCAGCTGATGAGCGCCGGGGCAGTCTCACACGCGGAACAGCTTTTCGGCTCCGTACAATTTTCAGCAGGCGAGGAGCACCCAGGAGAGGGAAGGGGGTGTCCTTGCTTCCTGGTGCTCTGAGGTCCTTTTGAAGCCCTCTCTCCTTGCATCCAAAAAGGGGCAATTAGTGTGGAATTAATTAATTTAAAAAAAAAAAAAAGCTTGACCTCTTTTTGGAAATGTTTTAAAGATGAGCCACGCTTGGGTCGCTACTGAGAATAAAACATGCTCGAGTGTAAGCTGGGGTTCTCCATTCGTTCGTATTTCTGCAGAAATCAGTGGTCCCTCACTGCTTTCCTGGCGTTTGAGATTTGATGGGGTGTAGGACTGGCAGATCGGGTTAACTCTGCAAATACCTTGACTACTGGGAGACTATTTTGGGGTGGATGAAGAGAGTCTTTTCCCCCAGTAGTTCTCTTGAAATAAACAGATACAAAAGCGTTTTCAACCTGACTACTGGCTAGCTCGAGCTCTGTGCGCTGAGAGATGCCATTTTCACAGGACTGATTTCCATTTCTATTTTTAAGAAATTGCAAAACTTATACCCAAACCAAGTGTGAGGTGGGAGACTTTGCTGTGCTCTCTTGTGTGTAACTGAAGGAGCTCTAGTTTCCCCTCTACCTGGCGCATAGCTGGGACTATTTTGGTAACAAGCTGTGAGCTGGGGCGTGAGTGAGTACTGATAGATGTCACCTGAGAAAGCTTGCTGTCCTCATCCTGCTTCACTGGTGAGAAACCTGCCTAGTGATACTGGGTGGATTAGCGGCAGAAAGTGAGAGTAGAGCTGAGTTGCTGTCTTAGCTCTCTCCTCAGTTACCACGTGGTGCTTAATTCCTCTAAAATAAATGTGTAGTGTAACGTTAGGACAGAAGGGTCCCAGGCCCAGCTGGGCGGCTCGCCTGTAGCCTCTGCTCAGCCAAATCTGGTATTCCTATTTCTAGCTGGGTTTATAAAGTGTTCGCAAAGTCGTAGTAAACTTGATTTGCCCACATGGTACCCAGCTCCGTCACCCCACGGAAAGAGCAGGCGTGTGCTCAATGTGGCCCTATGCTGTTTATCTGTCCTGAAAATCAGATTTCCGTAATCACCCTCTGTTTGCATTACTATAAGCTCTTGAATAATTCCAGCCTTCCCCGCTCACCATATTGTACCCGCATCACCCCTTGGATTTTTGTCAGCTCTTGCATCGGCCTCTTGACAACTTCAGCTTTGTAGAGCGGCGGCTGCAGCAAAGAAACACTTTTATCTGCTCCTTATGCTCGCTCTTCTCTCTGCAGTTGTGGCTTGGAGGATGCAAACTTAAAAGTGTTTGATGACTGTGGTTGATATACCTTTTTTATGGCAGTAAAAATACCCTTTCTTTTTAGGGCAGTATCATGAGATACAGGAATTAACTATATGAATGGTGAATATATGAGAATTATTTTCTTGGCTATGTGATGAGGGGATGTTTGGAAAAGCCTGC